CAAAGAAACAAACAAGAAAACAGTGTTCAGGATCCAAATCCTGATTCTGCCTAAAGTGTCCTGGAACATGGGCAAATGTCTTAATGTCATTAAGCCGTACTTTCTTCATTAGTAAAACAGTAATAATAACAATACTACCTGTCATGGAGTTGTTAGGATCAAATGAGTTAAGGTATGTAAAACACAAAGAACAGTGCAACTGTAGTAGGATGCTATATAAATGAGAACAGTTCTTTTTGTAATTCTGCTTACCATGCTCACATCTTAGCTGCCAGTAAATAAACTTGTATCAGTCAACACTAGGCAATGAGTAACACCCAGAAGTCAGGATAGTTAGAATTTATTTGTACTGGATATTGTGGCTTGTGGCATTAGCAAAAGACTAACAGCACCACTGATAGCAGTGACCAAAGGTACTAGTGCAAAAGGATAGAAGTGGTAAATGTGCTGGAAGAATTTTCTTAACCAAACTGTTCCAGTGGTTTGATCTTGCCTCTGGTTTCCGTACTCTCACTTCCTGTAACTAATTACTTTGTTTAATTATCCAATTTTCTGCTCGGTTCTGGGAGTACACCATTATTCTTCCAATAAATTCTTTTTTAAGTTAGCCAGAGTTTATTTCTGTTGTATACATCCAAGACTGTCACCTCACTCCGCATACCACCCACATTCATGATAGGCAGGGATAGTGATGGTGGAGAGAAACTTATCAGGTTCCACTGCCACTTCTGCTTTATGTTATGAGATGCCTTGTCACATCCCTTAACCTCCCAAACAGGCCATGACTAGACTCCTTGACACCACGTACCAAACATCAAAGAGATAGCATTGTAATGCCATGTCTTAAACGTGGGGGAAAAGAGACATCCTTCTTTGTCTCTGCTTATTCACGTTATCTTGACTTGCTTATGCACTGGCCATGATGTTATATCAACTATGTTCACTACAAGAATTTCAACTCAATTAGCTGGGAAAGAAAATAAAAAGAAAAGCCATGAAAGAGGAGCATATTTGGCTTTGTTCTCAGGCTTCCTTATGAAATACCGATTCATAATAGTAGTTTATTATAGTAGAAAATGACAAAATAAAAAAAGCTCCAGTATATCAGTGGCTTATTTCAAGTAGACTAATTTTATGCCTTCATATTTAAAGTAAATTTCTTGTAGACAGCATGCAGTGGGTCTTTTTTTAAAAAAAATTATCTAACACTCTTTCAATTTGCTAAGTTTACACTGTATTTAATGTACTCATTGACACAATGAATTAAAATCTACCATCAGGCCAGGCACAGTGGCTCACACCTATAATCCCAGCACTTTGGGAGGCCGAGGCAGGAAAATCACTTGAGGCCAGGAGTTCAAGACCAGCCTGACCACCATGGTGAAACCCCGTCTCTACTAACAACGCAAAAATTAACCAGGCACGGTGGCACACACCTGTAATCCCAGCTACTCAGGGGGCTGAAGCAGGAGAATCACTTGAACCTGGGAGGCAAAGGTTGCCATGAACTGAGTTCACACCACTGCACTCCAGCCTGGGTGAAAGAGAGAGGCTCTGTCTTAAAAAAAAAAAAAAAAAACAAGCAAACAAAAAAAGCCCTACAATCTTCCCAGTTTTTTTTTCTATTTGTTCCATGTTTTCTTTGTTTCTTTTATCTTCTTTTCCTGTTTAAATTATTAAATATCTTTATGATTCCATTTTATCTCCACTATTGACTTATTAAATGCCTCTCTTAAAAATTGTTTTAGTTAAAAAACATTGTTTTAGTTATTGCCCTAGAGTTTACCATATATGTCTGGAATTCATGAAAGTATGCTTCTTTATAATATTGTGCCATTTTACAAGTAGGTTAAGGATGTTGCAAACATACACTGACAATTATGCGCTCTAATATTTTATATTATTATTATACATTTTCCTTTTACATATTCTATAAATAAATACAGAGTATATTCTTACTATTGTGATTTAGACAATCACCTTTTAAAGGAATTAAAATTACAAAAAGAGTAGGTCTTCAGTCTGTCTATCTGATTTTCACTGCTCTTCATTTCTTTGCACAAATGTAAATTATTGATTGGCATCATATTTCTTATGCCTGAAGAAGTTCTTCAGTATTTCTTGCAGTGAAGGGCTGCTGACAATGAGCTTTCAGCATGTGTGTCTGAAAAATGTCTTTATTTCTCTTTGATTTTTTAATATATTCACTTGGTTTAACAGGGTCTTTTCTTTATTATTTCAGCATTTGACAGATGTTTTCTGTCCTATCCTGTTTCTGATGAGAAAACTGCAGTGAACCTTGTTTTTGTTCCTCTATATATAATGTGTCTTTTTTCCTTTGAATGTATTTATAGTTTTCTTCTATTTGGTTTTCAGCAATTTGAATATGAAATGTATAAGTGTTAGCCACTGTGTTAAATCCATAGTATACAGAGCAAAACAAAAAAGTACCTACATAAATAGACTTTGGTCTAATGGGGAGACATTAAAAACAAACTCACAGATAAATATATAATTGTAAATCATATTATGAAAAATAAAATAATTTTCTTAGAGAGGATATAATAAAGGAAGCTTAAATCTAAAAGGATAGAATAAGGCCAGACGTGGTGGCTCATGCAAGTAATCTCAGCACTTTGGGAGGCCAAGGCAGGCAGATCGCTTGAGGTCAGGTGTTCAAGACCAGTCTGGTCGACATGGTGAAACCTCATCTCCACTAAGAGTATGCAAAAAATTAGCCAGGCTTGGTGGCATGAGCCTGTAATTCCAGCTACTCAGCAGGCTGAGGCATGAGAATTGCTTCAACCCAGGAGGTGGAGGTTGCAGTGAGCCGAGAGGATCCCACTGCACTCCACCCTGAGTAACAGAGTGAGATTCTATCAAAAAAAATTTTTTTTAATTTCAAAAAGCGTTGAATAAACATATCCAGAATGACAAAGAAAGGACTCCCAAAAATCTGCTTTTCCATAAAATCAATGATAACACAGGCAAAAGTGTCTATAATAAAAATATTTGAAACTCTAGAAACTAACCAAGGGCATGCAACAATTCAATAAGTATTCATTCAAGAACAATGACTGAATTCAGTATCAACGGTGAGTTTTGTGGCATGTTAACTTGCTTTTCCCCCAGCTCTGTGGTAACTTTAAAAACTAGCACACATGGAACTATGGTAGCTGAGAAAAATATTGGCCTAACAACCATTAAAGTGAACAAAAAATGTTGGAGATTGCTAAAGGGCCTGCTTCCCAGAGAATTGTCACTGTTTTGGCAGCTTCCTAGGAAAACCCCATTTACAATTTTGTCTTTATTTCACCAGACTCAGTTCATTCAGTGAGAAATTTTTATTCCTAAAGTGTTTGTCAAAGCATTAAGCAGCAATTGCCTGAAAATTTAAATATCAGTTGGAGCAAACAATAATCTAACCAAACTTGTAAAAAATTTATGAGGGCATTAGAAATCCATACAGGGCTTTGAAAAGCTCCCATATATTCCTGGGGATTACAAAGAACATGTACATGGGCAAGGCGCTATGTATGCACAGGAAAGACCTAATGTTTCATTTGTGGCTAAACTTGAGGCTCTGCAAAAAGAGACCATGAAGATTAAAGGTAGAATTGAAACTGCTGGGGCACTGAAAATATGCTCTAACACACATATGTAAATCCCATGCATAAGGCTTCAGAGAATTAGCAATTTAAAGCACTTTAAAAAATCTGTCCAATTGTGAGTAGAAATTTCAGTGCCTACACACAACAAGAAATACAGAAGTAACATAAGTAACTCAGGAAAATCACTAAACAAACAAAAGTACCACCAACAAAAACAAAGCCTAGATGAGAGGGAAGATATGATTTTGAGAATATGCTACCTGAAATAATAATAATAAATATTTAAAATGTCCAGATTTTAACAACAAAAAATGTGTCACTTAAAGATGAGGAAAGTATGGCCAATTCACGTTTAAGAAAACAGTGAATAGAAACTGTCCAGGAGGAAGACCAAATATTGGACTTAGTAGACAAAGATAAATATGAGGTGGAAGGAATTGTCTTATTGTAAATTCTATATAATTAAAATATGAATCCTATAGAGGCCTTTGCCTTCCCTGCAGTCTTTTTAAATGCACTCTTAACCTCTTTGTTCCTCAGGCTGTAGACCAGTGGATTCAACATGGGAATGACTATGGCATAAAACACAGATGCCATTTTGTCAGTGCCCATGGAATGGCTGGAGCTAGGTCGTAAGTACATAAAGATACCTGTCCCATAAAAGATGGAAACTGCAGTAAGGTGGGAAGCGCAGGTGGAAAAGGCCTTCTTGCGTCCTTCAGATGAGTGCATCTTCAGGATGGTGATAAATATAAATAAATAGGAGATCAAGATTATCAGGACAGAAAAGAGGTCATTGAATCCCACCACAAAAAAAATAACCATCTCACTAATGTAATTGCCTGAACATGAGAGAGCCAGGAGAGGAGAAGCATCACAGAAAAAGTGTTCAACTACATTGGATCTACAGAAGGAGAGCCTGAAAGTGTTCCCAGTATGAATGGACGCATTCAGGAAACCACAGATGTAGGAGCCTATGGTCAGGCAAGCACATACATTTGTTGTCATAGTGGTGGTGTAATGCAGGGGTTTACACACTGCTGCATAGCGGTCATAGGCAATTGATGCCAGAAGAAAATTTTCTGCAGTGATAAAGGCTACAAAGAAGAAGAATTGTGCGACACAAGCATTGTATAATATGTGTTTGTCTCCTGTGAGGCATCCTACCATCACTTTCGGAGTGACAGCTGAGGAATAACCAAAGTCCACCAAAGAGAGGTTACTGAGGAAGAAATACATGGGGGTGTGGAGTCGGGAGTCCAATAGAATCAATTCAATCATCCCCAGGTTCCCAATTAGAGTGATGAGGTACATGAAAAGAAAGACTATGAAGAGTGGGATCTGCAGTTCTGGGTCATCAGTTAGCCCCACAAGAATGAATTCAGTCACCTCTGTGTTGTTCTCCATTGGGAATTGTGTAGCTGCCCTATAGAAATAAGAAGACGGAACCAGAATGATAAATGGAGGGAGTACTACTGAGATCAGTCAGTATGCTCATTTGGTGCCTTATTTCAGTATTGCAATTATTTGTTTCCAGGAGTCCTGGATCTAAAACATCCCCATAACAACAAAATGCAACTTTAAATTAAAATAATTCACAGAACATTCTTAATAAGATGGTTTTGGAGATAATCCATCTTAATCTCCTAACTTCATAGATTAGTGAACTAAGGTGTAGAAGGAAATATTCATACAAGATCATCAGACTAATTCATTGGAACAGGTGAAATGTAAAGCCAAGTCACTTTGAATTAAAGCCTTAGCTCTTCATCACAAAGAAAAATTCCTTTAAACCTTTTACATTCAACCTAAACTGGGCACAAGATAGTAATTCATTTAATTGACTAACTGCCTGATGAAATAATTAAATCTATCATTGGAAGTCAATGTGAAGAATGGAAAATTTCAAAAATGAAAAATGAATTAAATTAAGAATCAAATATACCTACCAGTTTTCTTGGCTTCATGCAAATAACATACCTTTCTGGATCTCAGTTAGATGATAATAACTGCATCCACAAATGTTTGTAACCACTTCCAACCCTTAAACATCTTCAAAAAGTTAAAAAGGAACATAAATCTTTAGTAATACCAACCAGTTGACCAATCAACATAAATTTCTGAATGTGTTCATTTCTTCATTTTCTCTAAAAGCACTAATTTCGAATGAAGCACCACATTTTGTGCTAATTGCCAGGCTTACATTAATGCACAAGATACATTCCCTAACCTCGGGATATTTAGAGGACTGAGACAGACATCTAAACTGATAAATACCAAGTTTAAGTTCAGAATATTCTTAGTCTCCATTCCCAAGGACAGAGAATTGCTTTCTCATTTGCTCAGAACTGTGTGATAGATGTTAATCACATCTACATTGCAGACCATCAGTCAGTCCATAATATAGTTTATAAATTATGTGTCCAATGACCAGATGTTTTCAGTGGCAGAATTAGAACTTAAAATCAGGTATCCTCATTCCAATAGTTAGTTGTGCCTTATGTAATTTTGCACATCTCTATTTCAGAGCATTTTATAACTGGCCTGATTTCTTCCTCATTTATTAATCACCATTCCTTTGGTCTCTCTCTTCTATTAAAATATTAATATGGGCTTCCAGATTACAGTAAAATTTTATGTTGATATCCCACTTGATTATCTCAACAACTCTAGGATTCCTCAGGAGAACTAATATTATATTTCCTGAAACAGAAAACTGAGAAATAAATAGTTTAAATAACTTGTTCAAAGTAATATAAGCTTATTCTTTGTAAAGCAGGGACTCAAGTGTTTCTTGTACTTTTGTTTTATGTCACATGGTAAGTATACATATTCTAATAGAAATTCATTATTGCTTAGAAATACAAGTTTAGCATCCCTAATCCAAAAATCCAAAATCTAAAATGCTCCCAAATCCAAAACTATTTAAGAAGTTTATCTTCTTTTTCTTATTTGATTCTGCTGCACTCCCTAACTTGGGTTGAAGAGAGTAAGGAAGAAGGAGAGATGAGGAGGGCAGTGAAGTTTCTTTCTTTGAGTGCTTTTGAGATATTCAGATGTCCCTACTAGAAACATTTGACTGCACTTCCCAACATGCAAGTTAAGCATTTTCTTCTAGCTGGTCATTCTCCTGCAGTTTTTCATGTACTTTTACTTTCTTTAATAAAGAAGATTTATTAACTAGGAAAAAAAAAAAAGAACCAACATGATGCTACAAATGGAAAATTCCACACATAAGTGTGTAACACAAACTTTGTTTCATGCAAAAAATTATTTAAAATATTATATAAAATTACTTAGGCTATGGATATAATGTGTATATAAAACAAATAAATTTGTGTTTAAATTTGAGTTTCGTCCTCAATATATCTCATTATAAACAGACACATATTCCAAAATTCAAAAAAATCTAAAATCCGAAACACAGCTGTTCCCAAATGTTTTAGATTAGGGAAACTCAACATATATAGCCTCTGGAGGTCTGAAACAGATAAAAGAAATATTCGAAATAGTCAAGCCAAATCTCTGACTAAACCAAAGGAGAAATGGGTACCTTGATGCATTTTTCTAGTTAGCTCTGCCCCTGCAGCTTTGTGCAGACAATAGGTTTGATCCAAAGGCTTACCTTTCTCCCTGAGAAATACAAAATTCAAGTCTAGCACCTTCATATATAAGTAAAGGTCACGTCAGAAATTCAGTCCTTTAAAGAAGGAAAACAACTTTTCGGAGGCTCCTCTTGAATATTTGGCCAAAAGGCTTAAAGTTCAGAGAGATTAAAAGAAAAATGCTATTGGCTTTATAATCAACTAACAAGAGCTCTACTCCTGTATTTACTCTCTTTCTTTGTAGATAAGTCACTTACCTCATTGGAGGATCAACAGCTGAATCTATAAAAAATAAAATAATAAAAGATAGCCCCAATAAAATCCAGCCTGAAAACTCCTGCTATGGTAGGAAAAGAATAGAAATCCTAAAATTTCTTATACTTGGTAAGGAGTAATAATCATAACAACAATTAACATAATTATTATTGGGGGTCTTTTCCTGGACATTGTTGCAGGCTCTTTGCTATACATCAGTTTCAGAGAAGGTCATAGTTACAGCTAGATGACTATTAACAATCAGATGAATAAATAAATGGTCAAAGTGACTCTGGTTCCAGGGCTGCTCCCTTTAATGTGAAGCCAAATGGAATCATATAAATACTTGAACAGTTGAAAAGAGGGAACCAGGAGGTAATTATATGGTTGTGGAGCTCTCAGGGGACACATACTCTATGAAGGCCACAAAATGCTTTATCTCACATAACTGGAAATCAGGTAATTAACGTATCTATGGGATCCAGCTCTACTTGTTGTGGAAGGTCATGAGTATATTTATGTTACTTTCAGTTATTCTCTTGGGTAATGCACAAATTAAGCCACAGCATGTCCTTCAAGACTGTGATTTGATATAAATACTAAGAGACAGAGACATACATTTTATCATTAAATAAGGGATGTGAACCTCAGGGATTTGTGTTTCTTTTAAATCACCTTAAATGTTTGAACTGTTGAGAAGAAATATGAATTCATCAACTGTTTATTTATTGCAAAAAGGTTTTGGCCGTAGTGATGAGAGCTGAGAACATAGACCCATGCAAAATAAACATCATTCTTGTGCCCATGGTGTTTAAATCTAATGGAGAAGATAGACAGTAAGCAAATAAACCTCGTAAGAAACATGCACAAATATGCATTTATACATATATAAATACATATGTACATATGTATAATTATGTGTGGAATAAGCATGTAAGTATACATAAAAATGAGAGAAAAAAATTTATATTGATTGGTCAAAATGTTTTCTCTGGAAAATTAAGATTTCAGCCAAGTTTAAAAATGACAAAGAACTAGTATGGGAATGATCATTCCAAACTAAATGAAATATAAGTAGTAAAGGACCCAAGTTTCAAGAAGGTTAACAGGATCCAAAAGAAGCTAGTATGTGTTCTTCATAACTAGATCTCTTCCTTGTCAGTTTCTATCTCAGCATCCTCCCAAACAAAACGTTGACAAACAAAACAAAAACAGAGTGACATATAAACAAGATGGTAGAGTAGGAGATACAATTCTCTTCCCCTCACAATAAAATCAACCAATAATTATCCATGAATGATAATAGACTTAGTAGGACTTAAGGATCTATTTAAAAATCTATAGCAACATAGTAGAACAAAAAAGTTTGGGGGGGGAATAACCACATAGAAAAGACTGTTGGAGATATGTAAATACCTGAGATGTCTGGAGATGTCTAGGAACAAAGAAAATCAGTTTCTAGCATTATCAACCATGTTATTTGTGCCATCATTTTCCCCAGCAACCTGCTGTACAGAGAACACTGCCATCTTTCACTACCAAGACAATCAACAACCATCCCCACAGTGGCACCCCCAGAAAAGGAAACACTGCTTCACCAATGCTCCCAGAGGAGCTACTGTTTTGCTGCCTCATGGCTGAAGCCACCATTCCTTCCAACTTTGCACATGTCTCAAACACTGGAGTCACTACTGTTTTAGGTTAGCCTCACCACACACCTTAGAGCCCCAGTTGCTGTGTGTGCATACACACTCCATGAACCAACTCCACTACAATATTGAGCATCCTGAGGCCCAGAGCCCAGAGCCACCCACACTCTGGACCTTGGAGCCACTATAGCTCTGCACACGCCTAGATTTTGGCCATCAACTTCTCAGCTGCTTCACAAGCATCTGTGCCCCACACAGAGTTATCAACACAGCAGCAGGGCATCTATGCCCAAGGCATGATGTCATCAACACTTCAGACTTCAAAGGGATTGTGCCTCTGTGCATCTCCATGGTTCAGATCTTGGCTCCATGACTGTTGCACAAGCACCAGGCATCTGATATCAGTGTCACCACAGCTACAAGTGCACCCACTGGACACTGTGCCAAAAGTGATTCCCTTAGCCATGATTTCCCTGTTGGAACAAAAAGAGATTGAGAGGATCTCAGTGGCCTTCACCACTGAATACACCAATAGCTCTTACTGCTGCTATTGATATCCATATTTTTGGCTTCTAAAAGTCCCTGCAGTCTTCACCAATGCCAACCTAAGTTGACAGAGCAACACAAAGATTATGTCACTGCACCCTTGCCAGAGCCCAAACTGCCACATCTCTCCCAGTCAGTGCCTTATCAATCTCCCTTAAGTGAAAGCCTTTTCCCAATGAAACCAGTACATAAAGTCTGAAAGAGATGCCTGCTCCACCAAATGTGCAAACATCAATGAAGGACAAAAGAATATGTGAAAAACCAAGGAAACATTACCACCAAAACAATAATATCAGCCAGGTATAGTGGCTCATGCCTGTAATCCCAGCATTTTGGGAGACCAAATTAGGAGGAATGCTTAGTTCAGGAGTTTAAGACAAGCCTGGGCAACATAGCAAGACCCTGTCTCTACTAAAGATAAAGAAATTAGACGAGCATAGTGGCACATGCCTGTAGTCCCAGATACCAGGGAGGCCCAGGCAGGAGAATCACTTGAGCCTAGGAGTTCGGGGCTACAGTGAGCCATGATTGTGTCACTGCATTCCAGCCTTGGGGACAGAGCAAGACCTTGTCTCAAATAATAGAAGTAATAATAATTTCCCAGTAACAAGCCCCAAAGAGATGGAGATCTTCAAACTGGCTGAAAAAGAATTCGAGACAACTATTTTAAGGAAGCTCAGCAAACTAAAAAAGAACACAGAGATACAATAAATTGCAACAAGTAAAACAATAAATGAGTAAAATAAGAAGTTTAACAAAGAGATTAAAATTTTGAAGACTCCATAAAGCCTGGAGTGTAAGAATACAATGCATAAAATAACAAATGCAATAAGAAGGTCATCAGCAGAATTGATCAAACAGAAGAAAGAATTTGTAAACTTGAAGACAGATTATTTG